CCATGCTAAGCAGCTCTCGTATGGTGCCTGATGGAGCAATTACGCTCTACTATGGTATTTGTATAGAGAGATTTCCACATTTGCGGGATGAAGGCATGCACGGATTGTTTCTGCATCCTTGTTTCTGTTTACTGAGTATCCAGTGATGCTATTTTGACTAGACTTTCCTATTTATAACACACAAGAAAAGGATGAGCTGGAACACTGAGTAAGGATGATTTCAGGAAGAGTATAGATTACTCAATTTTTTTTCATATAAAGTCTGCTGTTGTTTTTTCGTTTCTTCATGGTGTTTAGTTTTCCTTCCTATCCTGTCCTCCGATACTTCAGAATCTACTGGCCAGCCGGTCAAATTTGATAAAAAATGGAGTTTTCAAAGGTGCTGAATCCCTATCTATTCATGAAATAGCAGTCACTGTATTTAGGGCCTTTGCTGACTGAGAAACTGCACCATCACAGATATCACAGGTTCTAGCTGTGAGACACTGAAAACTGGACATCATTGTCCCATGCTATTGCTTCTCCTACCTTTGGGGGGGAATGTACACTACCAACAAGTTTATTTTGTGTATCTATTAGACTCTTAAATTATAAAATCAACAACATAAAAATAAAGCAATAAGGATTTTCTTTAATAGAGGCTTTCTAAAGTAAAAACAAAACAAAACAAAACATTGCTGCTGTTAATGCACTCTCATTTAAATTATTTGTGTGGAAATTATTATCTTCTCATGATAATAGTTTTGCAAAGTGAGAGGTAAAGCCAATTCAAGCATTCCTGAGTTGAGAAAATGGCAGGAAAAAGGCCTGTCATTCTGGTAAGGACAGGAATTGTTTTTCCATGGTGTCGATGTTTGGACGTTGCAACTTGCACATGGTAATTTTTTGTATCATCAAAGAAAGGTCATGCTACAAAGGTGTAACAGAGAAATTAATACATGTTTTCTTATTTCTTGTAGAACATCTATTCTTGGAATTTCATTTGGGGCTGCATTTCTCTTGCTTTCCTTCATTTTGTTTATCTGCTTTGCTGGACAGCTCTTGGTAGGTATTCAAGGAAATGTAATCCAGTAGTTAATGGTTTCTTTTAAATAACATGTTCTGATTTTGCCAAGTCTCTCTGCCTTTGCAGAGTACCAGTTAAATGAGAAAGGCTTGCACACTCAGGCTTCTGAGGACATTGTTTTGTCCATGTTAACTTACTATATAATGTCCTCATTTATCTGAAAAATGGAAAACACCAGTGCAGTGACTGTCTGTCCCTACACTGATATTGTCTTTCCCCCACGTGAAGCTGGATCCTCTGAGAGGTTTGCATTATCGTTTGATTGATTGTCTTTTCAAAATTTTTGCTATTCTGCTTACAGGTGGTGACTCATCTTATGAGTGCTTTAATTTGGGGGACTGTGTTTAAGTCTTGTATAAGAACATTTTCTGAGTTTAGAGAATATTTCACAATAACAATTTAATTTGATAAATAAAAATGTTATAGTAAAATACCAATTTTGCCATTTAGTGGTCCAAGTATTATTGTAATGCCTATTAGTGTAGCCAATAATATGCTGAATTTGAGAATTTAATTTAATTCAAGATTTGGACAAACCTTTCAGCATTTCACAATATAATTTACAAGTATTATTGTCCTTTCAGTCATTCTCAAATAGATCCAACATATAACTCCATCTAGAACAAGGAATTTGAGGATTTGTAAGAAAGTGAATGCAATCTGAATTTGGCATGTAATCTAGAATAAAACTATCTGTATACTTGTCACTTAATCCCCATTTCTCCTTCTCTATCTTTGCATTTTTCCACAATCTCCCATGGAGAAAGCTGAGAGAAAGATTGTTTATAAAAAAGCAAAACATGCACATGGGAAAGACAATTACATCACTATGCAGTAAAACACTAAGGAAAGGTAGCCTGGCAGTTGAAGCAAGAAACAGAGGAAATGGGATTTTGTAATTTCTCCCTCTTCGCTTGTGAGGCTTGTAATTAACCAGGACATATTTTTAAGAAAATGTAATTAATCTACACTTCAGCTGTATATCCAATAAGGTAGGGATGTTGCCACTACTCAGGAATTAATCTGAGATACAATGCAACAGTATTTTTAAATATTTTAAATCCTTGGAGGGAGGTCCTAGAAGTATTGCTATTACTTAACAGCAAAAATTAGTTATTATGTAATGTCATGCTTGATTGCTATTTTTTATTGACATCAGAGTAAAATGATGGAGTCAAAGTACTGCTGTTGAATAAGCAAATTAAAAAAAAAAAATTCTTCAAGGAAAAGCCAGCCTTTTTCCTGTAGGAAAAAGAGGTGCCAATGAAATGGTATCAAGAAGTGCTGGGACATACACTCTCCTGGGGCTTTTATTTATAATGTAGGAGGAATACAAACGTATTTTTCTGCATTTAAAGGGATGGCTAAGCAAATATTCCAAGTCAGAGTTGAGGAGTCGTGCCACATGAATAATATCTAACATCTACTTTCAATGCTGTTTTTGCTATGTCTTGAATGTACTCTAAATACTTCCCAGAAATGAAGACCTATTACTGCATTTCTGTTGACTTGCGAGATGTCATGTTCTAACCCAAATAGCTTGAAGAGGAGCTATTTATGTCTATGTCTTTATAAGTTCAGCTGCTCTAATGCAGAAGCTATGCTGCTAAGAAGCCTTTCAGCAAGTAAGTTATGACCATAGTTGATGCAGAGCTGTCTTTTCTTCATGAACATGGACGTAGTTCTGTAAGGTGATGGGTGAGAGGCAGCTAACAAAAGAGGCAGTAAGTTTATCTTTCCCCTGTCCTCTCCCTAAGATTTTTTCCTTCATGTCAAAATCCAAGTATTGTTTTGCAGCTTTAACCACAGTGACACCCTATGTACATGTTTCGGTAGCATATCCATTGCAGTATCTGACCCGTAACTGTAAATGTTTTCTTTCTAGAAGAAAAAGCCTGAAATTCTCAAGCAAACAAGTATCAATATCTGAGTTTTAACACTCAGAGTTTTTATGGTCAGTGTTACAGAAATCAAGCTTTATCATCCTTAATCCCGATTGGGTTTGAGTTTGGTTTTTTTGGTTTTTTTTTTGCTAGTGTGGGTTTTTCCCACCTCTTTTTCTAAAAGGGTACATTTTGGATTCACTTGCAGAATGCATGTAGTAAAAGGATGTGCTTGTGTGTACACACATCTGCATGTAATTACAGAGTTTAAAATCATCAAATATCTCTCTTCTAAAAATGCACAAAAAAAGAAGATAATTTTTGGGGCCTGACTGACCCTGATGGATGAACTGTGGTGGGTTAGTCTTGGCTATGGGCCAGACACCCACCCAGCTGTTCACTCACTCTACCTCCTCAGCGGGATGGGGGAGGAAGATAGGATGAGAAAGCTCGTGGGTTGAGATAAAGGCAGGAGATCACTTACCAATTACTGTCATAGACAAAGCAGACTCAACTTGGGGAAAATTAATTTAATTTATTGCCAATTAAAATAGATTTGGGTAGTAAGAAACAAAAACAAATATTAAAGCCACACCATTCCTCCCCCCTTCCCAAACTCAGCTTCACTCCTTCGCTCCAGACTCCTCTGTCTCCCCCCAGGCAGCACAAGTGGGGACAGAGGGTGGTCAGTACATAAACATTTCTCTCTGCTGCTCCTTACCTTCACACTTTCGCCCTGCTCCAGCGTGGGGTCTCCACAGGCTGCAGTTCCTTCAGGAATATCCACCTGCTCCAGCATGGGTCCTCCATAGGCTGCAGCGTGGGCATCTGCTCCAACATGGAGCACCTCCTCCTCCTCCTTCTTCTCCTCCAACCTTGGCATTCCCTCCGCTGTTTCTCACTCTTTTGGTTCCCTCCTCCTCTCTCTGCCCAACATTTTCTGCTGCCCTTCTTTACCCAGGCTTTCCCCGAGGCACCTGCC